AAAATAGAAACTTAAAAGTTAGAATGAACCAAAAAGTTATTGATTCAAGAGTGAGTTATTAACGGTACCAATTAATCTCTCATCCGACTCATCACTAGTAAATTTATTCAAAGTTACCCAATTTGAATAAATGTATATATCTTGAATCGAGGAGAGATCACTAATATATGAAAAGGACCACTAAATTCCTCACTTTTTTGTAATTGTTGTAAAATTATTTTTCAACTTTCACATTTTCAAATTTTTTTTATAACTAAGCAAATTTAAATTTGAAAAAGTCAATATTAAATCAAAATAGTAAAGACATTAAAATTGAATTTTCCTGAACCCAAGTTTACGTAGTCGCAAGTTTTTTTAACTTCACCGTAGAATCAAGTACCCCTAAATTTTCAAACCAACATTTTCAATATAGATGAAAGGAAGGAAATAAGTTTACATTTTATGAATTACTGACTATGATAGTTTCACTAATAGTGGTGTAGCTATTCCATTGGATCTGTAAGTGGAGAAATCCGAAAACTAATGGATAACTACCGCCGGGTCGATGTTTTTTTTTTTTTTTTTGTCATCCAAAATTAATTAGTGTTCAAAAGAGTCATTCCGGGAGAACGTTGTTTACATATGTGATATAAAGCGGTTCCGAACGAATTTTTCGTGCCTGATTGTCCGCTTTTATTGCACTACGAGAAATTAAAGATAAAAAGAAGGTCGAGAATTCTTCCTTGTCGTTCTGAAATTGCTCCAAATTCTGCCAGGGTCGATGTATTTTCCAATCATTAGAGAGAATTTTGAGTGTATGAAGCCTCATGAGGCTCTTCTGTTTCCCACATTCGTCAAGGAGAGGATCCTCATGTTATTTTCCTCACAAACTCTAAGTTACAACAATATCCAAAATATTTACTCAATTTACGTGTATATACACAAATATGTAAATTATCATTATTTAAAAAATCTAAGATGAGAAAGAAAAATAAACATAAATTTTAGGACAATATATATATGTAGAGAAACAAAGAAAAAACATGTTTCTCATATATTTTTTGATATAATGATATACATAAAAATAATGAAAATGGAAGAGGCCACGGTGTAAGGTTTTCGGAGCTTGTGTTAAAGGAAAACTTCAAAAAGAATGTGTCTCTCAAATAAGTTTTTTAATATAATGATGTACTTATAAATGAAAAGAAATAGGATCATAATATTTATTTGGGTAAATAAGAAAAATGTTTTTAATATAAAGAAAAAATGAGTAATGTGTATTTGGATTTAAAGAGAGAGAAAAAAAAAAGAAAAAGGAGACATGTCATGTGTGAGCATAGCTTGTGTTAAAAGAAATATTTTGAAATCGTATATAAAATCGCCTACTTGGATAAATATCATTTATAACTTGACGAGAGAGCACTAGTATAAACTATAAAGAGAGTACCCCCCCCCCCCCCCTTGGGGAATCATGCACCCCTCAACCAACATCTTCAAAATAGTGTAGTTGGAAAAAAAAACAAATTAACGAACATGGTAGAAGTTTATGAGTTATTGACCGTGGTAGTTTCACTCATAGTGGTGAAGCTATTTCATTGGATCTATCAGTGGAGAAATCCGACAAGTAATGGAAAACTACCTCCAGGGTCGATGGGTTATCCGATCATCGGAGAGACTTTTGAGTTCATGAAGCCTCATGACGTTCTTCAGTTTCCAACATTCGTCAAAGAGAGAGTTCTCAGGTTCTTTGCTAATTTCCCGACCATGCATTTTCTATGTAGTGTTTGAAAATATATTTTTCAATTACTCCTAACTTTTAGTTACGTTGTCCTTCCCTTGTCAATTTTTCGGAAAAAAATAATAGATATGGACCAGTTTTTCGGACAAGCTTATTTGGAGCCAAAGCTATAATCTCGATGGATCTTGAAATGAATGTGGAGATAGCGAAGGCAAATCATGTCCCTGGTGTCACGAAGAGCATTGCACGGCTATTTGGGAAAAACAACTTGTTTATCCAAAGCAAGCAGTCCCATAAACATGTCCGGAACTTGACATTCCAGTTGTTAGGTCCACAATGTTTAAAGTTGAGGATGGTGGAAGAAGTCGATCTCTTGGCTCGCACATACATGGAGGAAGGAGCTAGGAACGGTTGCCTTGACGTCAAGGAAACATCAAGCAAGGTGAAAAACTCATCCATTTCGCGCTGTATATAACTCTTGGTATGATTAATTACATTCTACAGTACGATTACTAATGGATCATCTCATCAAACACATATCATCAAACTTTACAGATCTTAATTGAATGTCTTGCAAAGAAAGTTATGGGTGAAATGGAACCAGAGGCAGCAAAAGAACTTGCACTATGTTGGAGATATTTTCCAAGGGATTGGTTTCAATTCTCTTGGAACGTTCCTGGGGCTGGTGTCTATCGAATGATGAAGGTTTGTGATTTTCAGTTCATCTAAACCTTTATCGGACTATATGTGCATATATATGACTTTTGAGGGAAAATAATCGCTCGTATGATGTGTTTTGTGACAGGCAAGAAAGCGGATGATGAAGTTGATAAAGGAGATGGTACTAAAGAAGAGAGCATCAGGAGAGGAGTTTGGAGAATTTTTCAAGATCATCTTTGGAGAAATGGAAGGAGGAGCGGAAAAAATGAGCGTAGAGAATTCGATTGAGTACATATATACTTTCTTTTTGATAGCTAACGAAACAACACCAGTCACCAGGGATCCTTGCGGCTACAGTAAAGCTCATAAGCGACCACCCTAAAGTTGTGGAAGAGTTGAATAAAGAGCATGAGGGAATTGTTCGAGGTAAGACTGAGAAGGAGGCTGGCCTTACATGGGAAGACTACAAATCAATGACTTTCACACACAAGGTGAATGTCTGCCACAAACATATATACAATTATATGGAGACAAAAATCACATATTAATATATCAATCCACTCATTATCAATTAGTTTTGAGTTTTATGTTCGTTAACCTTGATTTACATAGTAGTTCAAACACATTTGGTTTTTCGTTTCAGGTGATTAATGAGTCACTTAGGATCACAAGCACGGCGCCGACTGTGCTTAGAATAACTGACCATGATTTCCAGGTTGGTGATTATACAATTCCAGCTGGTTGGATCTTCATGGGCTATCCTAATGTACATTTCAGTCCCAAAAAATACGATGACCCTTTGGTATTTAATCCATGGCGTTGGAAGGTGATTTGAACTTTTACTATATTTCCATTAGTCAAATTTATAGAATTTTCAGCATATAAATATTAAATTTTCAGAGAGAAGACTTGAGCTCAATCCTCTCCAAGACTTACATTCCCTTTGGTGCTGGTTCTAGACTATGTGTGGGAGCTGAGTTCGCTAAGCTTCAAATGGCCATTTTTATCCATCATATGTTTAGATACAGGTTCATTTTTATCACCTATTGACCCATAATTTAATTTTATTTTTAACTCTGTTAGTCATTAGAGTGGTATTATTTTTTAAGGTTGTTAGTTCGAATTCTTTATATATGTCAGACTGTTCTGATTGCTGCAAATGGATAAAAACCCATCTTGTAAGAGGCAACTGTCAAGAATTTATCCATGTATGTATTTGGTTTGATTTCAGATGCTAATAAAATATATACCTTGTATAACATGCATGGTGTATCTAGAATGTATCTAGAATATATCTATAAGGATTACATTACGTATTGTTTTGAAATTCGTAGGATTAATCTGCATTTTTCGGAGATGAAGGGTAAAGTTGCAAAAATATGCGAGTTGGAGGTTTTTTTTGCATAAAAACTCATATAATATACGTCGCTAGATCGTCACAAACTCATATTCATGTTGTTAAAAACCATCTAGTATATATAAATTATGCTAAAAACAACACGAAAAAAAATCAAAAAAATCGTGACAGGTACCAACTAAAATAGCATCTCCAAACTTCAATGCATCGCATTCTCCGTGAGAAATCAATGCAATAAACACGAATGAGAAATAGTTGAACGGTATGGAATCAAAGAAATGGATCGAAGAACTCATTTCCTTCCAAAGTACAACTCATGAGACCTTAGAATATTTATGGCTTAAAAGTGTTGTAAAGATTCTGTTTACGTCCTAACCCCTCTTCATTAAACACTTTTTCCATCCTAAACAAGCGTACAAAATGCTTCAACTATCCGCTTTCATCATTCTAAGTTTGATTAAACCTTGAGGTGTTCTTACTAGTTCTTATCGGCGTCTATATTCTTGTTTTAAGAGAACTATTCTTCATTAAAAAAGTGAGGTAACCCGACTTAGCCAACCTAGGGAACATTCACGTAAAAATGTTTTATGAATCTTACCAGAGCCTTTCTAAAAAATATTGTTCATGATCTTAAACTCGAAACGACCTTCACCTTTGATAACTCATCTAACCATCGCAGATACTGAGATCATATGATACGGAGTCGATTGTTAGTAAAATAAGCAACCTCTCTTGTGGATAAAATATAGTTTAAATGCTACATGAAGAGGATAAGCTTGTATTAAAGAATTCATAAAGTAAGAATAAACGAGATGAAAATGAATCAAATAGACTATCAAAAATTAATTTATACAAATCTCTAATTCTAAATATCAAATTCTTCAATTTGTTAATTTTTTTAAATTCTTATTTTCCTACACACCATGGGGCAAATCTAGTCATTATTTGACTAACAACTGTCTCAATAATCAATATACATGTTGGTGTATAAATTTCATGTCTCTAGAATTTGGTATGATTTTTCACTAATTCCTAAGTCTGTCAGAACAGTGTTTTCAAAATGCTTAGCTTCTACAAGCCATGAACCGTATCATAGCCTATTGATTAGAAACTAAGAAAAACAAATTTGAAGGAAGTCAACTAAACACTTTAAATATCATGAAAGAGTTATTCACAAATTGGAAAAACAAATTGACAAATAAAACGATAACCACATAGAGTACAAACAAGATCAAGGTCACGAACACATCAACCAAATTTAGATGAAAATTTGAAATGACTGTTCACTTTATTCAGATCACAACGAAACGCAAAAGCCAAGAATTTAGTAAATCCAGCATAGAGCAATCTTGGATTGTATATTGAGGTGCGACTGGTAGTAGTCTTGTTTAGGTCAAGACCGGGGGATTTAGGACAGCATAAGCAAGCAACTCTTGGTCATCGACAAACACAGACATGTCTTCCTCAGGTAAGCTTATCCATGCTTCTACACCATCACCTTCTTTTGAATCAATCAACATGACCCACACCATGTTGTCGTAATTGGTATGTGACGCGTATCCCACCCAGACCGGACTACCAGATCCGAAGTCAACCTCGTAGAATGGCTTTCTGCACCAGCTAGACATTATGTATCTGTCTATGTCCGCTGACTCTGACACTGTTTCCGCCATCAAACTCAACAAACTCTGACCAGTTGTATTGCTTTGGACACTCTCTTTGATCATCTCGTTGACTCCTTCTTTGGTCTTCCTGAATGCCGCCACGATTTCGGGGATCTCAAACTCGCTCTCCGCGTCTTTCTTGAGAGAGAATCCTGATTGTAGGTTGCCAATCACGTCTTGTGGCAAAACATTAGATGGAATCCTAAGCCGCAAGTCCATGGCCTGCCACATCACTGTTTGCCTTGGAATTACCAAGTTAAAGCGTGAGGATTTTCTGGCACATCTCCAAATAAGTGACATGATAGCTTCAACACGTGTAGGTACAGAAACGCTTTCGCTAGCGGCCTTGTGCCTGAGCTCAGCTATCTTAGAGGGTTCGAAGACGAATCTTTTGATTACACATTTATTTGCGATGTTAGAATCGGAATCCGTTGATGGGAACTCTAAATACATATGGGAAGGAGGAGGAGGAGGATAAATAGTCGTTTCAGCGAACTCAATAGTACTGTTTGACTTCCCTTTGGCCGTAGTGGTAGCCCAGTCTTTAACAAAGGTCACCAATGAGGCTGCATCACAGATTTTGTGAGAGACAGAGACAGAAACCGCCACCCCAGATCCCGACCCGAAGAAAGTGACCTTGACACTCAACAAGGGCCAAGCCGCTGGAGAATCTCCAGCGGCTATTGTCGGGAGGAATCCCGACAGGCAGTCAGTGTTGAGGTTTCTCAGGAAATCAGGTAAAAGGAGATTGGTGCGAGCCTCGGTGTACACGGCTCCTTCATCGTTACAGCTGATGGAAACGCCTTCTATTCGTCCAGCCAGTGGATAGAAGCGTGACAAAGTCTCGGACAGAGAGCTTTTCAGATTTTCCGACAAAATTTCCGGGGACATGTTATCGAGATCGTAGAAGAAGATCGTCGACACGTAGATTGCGGGACAATAGAGATCGAGGATAGAGAGTTGAAGGCGATCACGAGGTGATGGTGAAGCAGGTTTGATCACTTCTCTCGCAGCCACCTCTAGCTTCGCTTCCATCGTCTTCTTCCTGCTAGACCTTAAAAGTCAACGGGTAACAAGATTGAGGTAATGAGTGAACTTTGACAAGTGGAGAAAATGGAAGAAACAATGGATCGTAGATGTCCCTTTTAAAATGGCATTTGCTACATGTTTCATCTCATCATCTTAGAATAGTTTTTTTTTAAAATTAGAAAGTTTCATCTCATTTTATGTGTCAATTGAATAAACATAAAAATATTTGGAATAACGTCTGCTTAAAATGTTTAATTAATTCATACATATTAATATCTAAGTAACTTATAATTAATAGAAGATAAAATTGTGAAATATAAACTCACAAAAATTTAGTAAATTAAATGGAACTTCAAATTCGTAAAATAAACGACTATATATGTAATATTTCATTGGTAATAATAATATAACCAGAAAAAACATATATTGAAGATTGATTATATTTAAAATTTTAGAAAGTGTTTATGAATTTTTTAAATGGGGAAATAAATTTGAAAAATATAGTTATTTAATATTTTTAAATAAGAAAAACAAATATACACGTTATGAGAAAAAAGAGTAAATGATAGTGGCATATACCAACTGGTAAAACTTTTAAAAGAATAGTTTGTTGAAGTCTCACATCGAATATGACGATGAGCCCTAGTCCAAAAAATTGTTAGAATGATCGAATGATATGTTAAAGAAAAAAGTATGAAAACTAGCTGTAAACCAAGGTGAGGTTAGACTAGTGGTTGAATTTTAGTAAGCCAAAAACATTGGCATTTAGGAGGACACGAGTTCGATTCTTGTTGAGAGGGATACTTTATTAAAAGATGGTCTCGATCATAGGAGATGTATGGACTTCTAGATTATATGGAAACGAAAAAAAGTTCTCACTAAATATATATTTATATTTAAAACATTATATTCGGTTTAATCCGATTTTTTAGTTTATTTGTATAAGTATATCGAATTAAGAAAAAGCATATAAGTATTTAAGTTGATACAAAAAAAATTAATAATATCAAAATAAAAGGTGATCAAAATGAAAATATAATAAATATTCTAATTTCATAAAAATAAATATAATTTAACTTGACAAAAAGGTTAAAATATTAGAAACAATTTAAAATGATCAAAAATATAAAAAGGCTTTGACACTCTAAATGTGCAATTGCATTCATAACAAAATAATCACAAATTTAATTATGAAGTTCTTAATGATGAAACTTCTAACCTTTCTTTTTCTTAATTATATTAGGCAACATTCCATCAGTAAAATACATCTTACCATTTTGTTGGCAAAATAAATTGATTATACAACTTTTTTTGGATAATTATAAAATCTATTTTTAGTTTTTATAGGTTATAGAATAACATGAAGCTTTACGTAAAATAGAAAATGATATATTATAAGTCAAATGTACACATTCCACTCTAATAAGTAAATCGAATTTCACATAATAATATAGTTAATTTGAAAATACGATACAATAGTTATAATGATCCAACCCATATACTAAGGTGGTGTTATTCAATGATGGATTTTAATAGAATTGAAATCCAACACTAATTCAGTGTTATTCAACTAATGATTCTAAATTTAACTTTAAAATCTGGTGTTATTGGATCTTATATTTCATTAGATTTTCAAAGTTTGGTGTTATTCAACTAAGATTTAAAATACTTCATTAAAATCCAGTGTTATTCAAAACTAAAAGACTTGTAAAATTTTTGTATATTAAAACATTTGAAATGAAACCTCTTTGGAGTTTCATGAGTAAATTATTAGAATCATAATCAAAGCTATATTGCAGAGATTTTGAAATCCACACAAACAGATTCTTAAAAACAATATCAGAAAGCAAATCTAAACCTTAAAGAATTGACTTTAACTTCATGATTGAATAACACCCCCTAAGTATACAAAAAAGAACATTATCTAATTATGTAAATCGATTGAAAAAATATTAAACTAAAATATCAAATGATTCTAATTATCAAACGTTTTTGTCTCACGTTATATTACGGATTAAATTCTAATGTGTATATGTACATAATATTCAATAAATATAAAACTATAATAAATTAATTGGTAGCGTGGTACCCATGTTAGAACATTTAACAATAATTAATGGTTATTTTATAGTATATATAACATGAAAGGCGTGGATAATATATTATGCAAGACTTTTCTAAGTGAGTACGATAGCTTTTGTAATAATAAACATATATATCTTAAAATTAAAGGAAACTTCAAATTCGTAAAATAGATGACTATGTAATATTTTATTAGTAATGAGAATATAATCCGCTTTTAACCAAAAACCATATATTGAAGATTGATTATATTTAAAAATCTAGAAAGTGTATATGAATTTTAAAAGGGGAAATAAATTTATAAATATAGTTGTATAAATATAGTTATTTAAAAGAATTTTAATAAGAAAAAAATAGAAACATTATGAGGAAGAAAAAATAGCAAATGATAGTGGCATTTACCAACTGGTAAAACTTTTATAAGAATAGTTTGTTAAAGTCTCACATCGAATATGACGATGAGCCTAAGTAAAAAAATTATTAAAATAATCGAAATGATATGTTAAAAGAAAAAGGTATGAAACCTCACTGTTAACCATCGTGAGGTTAAACTAGTGGTTGAATTTTAGTACGCCGAAAACGTAGACATTTAGGAAGACAAGAGTTCGATTATTGTTGAGAGTGATATTTTATTAAATGATGGTCCCGACTTTAAGAGATGTATGGATCTATGCTCAGAATTTTCAGATTAAAACAAAAAAAAAAGTTCTCACTAAATATGCATTTATAATTGAAAGTTTATATTCGGTTTAATCCGATTTCTTAGTTGAATTGTATAAGTAGAACTAATTAAGAAAAAATTTATAAGTATTTAACTTGATACTAGAAAAATTAGTAATACCAAAACACAAGGTGATCAAAAACTAAAATATTATAAATAGTCTAATTTAATAAAAATAAACATAATTTAACTTGAAAAAGGTTAAAATATTATAAACAATTTAAATTGATCAAAAAGAAGAAAAAAAATTATAAGACCTTGTGGGTTATGTGGTGGGTGGGTTATGATTGATGTTAGTACGGTCTTTCGCAAGCTGATCCATCGAAATATGCAAAATATCTAATTAGCCTCACGTATAACAAGTTAAACATAACGTGTTAGACTGCTTTGACCCTCTTATTGTAAATGATATTTGATGATCCAACTCTTACGATTAACAAGAGAAAGTATTAACTCACAAACTCAATAACCTTTTATTAGTTTAAGAAAATCTCTCAAAACTTAAACTCTCTCACAATCTTATGCCATTACTCGACATCTCTATTTATACAAGAAGTACAAATCCTAATTCTATAAGGACTCATAATATATTGGATAACTCCCAATATATTTAACTTTATCTCTTAACAACCTTATCTCTTAATAACCATAACTCGGTTTAGGATTACTTCTTCTCCAAGATATCTTCAAGCTAAACCAACATTCTCCCTCCTAAGCTTGAAGTCACTTCCACTCATATCTCTTACACCAATAAGTTCACGCATCTCCTTGAACTTGATCCTCCCAAGCGCCTTAGTCAAAATGTCGGCCTTTTGCTCATCACCAAGTACATGTTCAACTTCCACTAATCCATTCTCCACGCACTCCCTTATGAAATGGTACCGTTTGGTAATGTGTTTGCTTCGACCATGAAACACCGGATTTTTCGTAAGCCGATTGATTATCTATTCGGATAGTGACTCTTTCACATGTTGACTCGGTAATCTCTCCAAGCAAATCATGAAGCCATATCGCCTGTCTAGCAGCCTCCGTTGCAGCCATGAACTCAGCTTCACACGATGATAACGCCACAATTTCTTGTTTATGAGAGCACCACGAGATCAAGCTTCCACCAAGGTAGAAAACGTGACCAGTTGTGCTTTTACCATCGTCGGGATCTTCATTATGGCTACTATCGCTGTACCCGATCAGTCTTGACTCCTTTAAAGTTGTTCTTGGATAGACCAGTCCAAGCGTAGTAGTACCTCGTAAATACCTTAGACATTGCTTCATTGCAGCACCATGAGACTCCTTAGGATTTTGCATATACCGACTTAACACACCGACACAATAAGACAAGTCGGGTCTAGTGTGAAGTAAGTAACGGAGACATCCTATGTTTCTACGATAGCTCGTGGCGTCAATGTCCTTTTCTTCTAGCGCCTTTGATATTTTCAAGCCAGCCTCCATTGGTGTATGAACCAAATTACACTTCGCCATTTCAACTTCCTCCAAGATCTTTAGGGCGTAACGTCTTTGATTCAATGTTATTCCTTCCTTGCTTTGGCACACTTCAATTCCAAGGTAGTAGGTTAACTTACCGAGATCACTCATCTCAAATCTAGACGCCATTTCCATCTTGAATTCTTCTATGACTTTAACATTTGTCCCCGAGACAAATAAATCATCAACGTACACAGCGACGAGAAGAACATCTTGATTCACCTTTTTCCTATACACGGAAGGTTCTTTTGAGCATTTTTCAAATTTGAGTTCCTTGAGCACTTGATTCAACTTGTCATTTCATGCTCTAGGAGCTTGTTTTAGACCATACAAAGCTTTGTTTAGCTTGTAAACCTTGTCTTCACTTCCTTTCACTTCAAAACCTTCCGGTTGAGTTACATAGACAGTTTCCTTTAATTCACCGTGTAGGAACGCTGTCTTGAAGCCGCGAGACTGATAAGGAGACGGATTGTCTCAATCCGTGCCACCGGAGCAAACACATCTTCAAAGTCAATTCCGTATCTTTGCACATATCCTTTTGCAACGAGCCTAGCTTTGTATTTATTGATATTACCATCGGAGTTCCTTTTGAGTTTAAAAATCCATTTTAGACCTATCGGCTTAGCTTCTTTTGGACATTCAATGAGATCCCAAGTGTGGTTCTTTGTAATCGAGTGAATCTCATCCTCACACGCACGCATCCAATTTTTCGACTCTCTTGCTTCACAGAAGTTTCTTGGTTCATCATTCAAATACATGAGTACGCGTTCTCCTTCTTCCTCGGCTAACAACACATAATCGTTTAGATATTTTGGCTTGCTAACTTCTCTTTGTGATGTCCGTAGC